CTCAAGAATCTGATGATATCGAGTGGAATCCATGCAACCCTCAACTTTAACAAGATTCCCAGTGCCAGCATTGGCAACGCAGCCCCAAAGCATGATGAAACCTCCACCAAATTTTACAGTGGGTGGCAAGCATTTTTCTTGAAATGCTGTGTTTTTTTTTGCCGCCATGCATAACGCCTTTTTTTTTATGACCAAACAACTCAATCTTTGTTTCATCAGTCCACAGGACCTTATTCCAAAATGAAGGTGGCTTGTCCAAATGTGCTTTTGCAAACCTCAAGGGATTCTGTTTGTGGCGTGCTTGCAGAAAAGGCTTCTGTCGCATTTGCAGCACAATGATGCTGCAGGTCTTTGGAGGTGGTCTGTGCATTGTCCTTGACGGTTCTTCTCTGCCTCTCTGATATTTTTTTGGCCTTCCACTGCTGGGCTTAACAAGAACTGTCACTGAGGTCTTCCATTTCCTTACTATGTTCCTCACAGTTTAAATCTCTGAGACAACTTTTTGTATCCTCACCCTGAACGACTATGTTGAACAATCTTTGTTTTCAGATCATTTGAGCTTTTTTTTGAGGTGCCCATGATGAATCTTCAGAGGAGATGCAAACAGGAGAACAACTTGCAACTGGCCACCTTAAATACATTTTCTCATGATTGGATGCACCTGGCTAAGAAGTTCAAATCTTAATGAAGTTACCAAACCAGTTTTGTGTTTCAGTAAGTCAGTGTAGTTAAAGGTATTCAAATCAATAAATCAATAAAATGATTAGGGTACCCACATTTTTGCACCTGTCAAGTTCTATTTTAATGCATATTGCACATTTTCTGTTAGTCCAATAAACCTCAATTCAATACTGAAATATTACTGTCCATATATTAAACTGAAATAGCTGCTGCAAACAGCCAAATATTAAGAAATAAAAATAATTAAGATCAATAGGGGTTCCTAATTTTGTTCATATGACTGTACTTGCTTGAGCAACACAGGCATTATGATTTTACACCTTCAGTTTGACTATTGCTGCGGTCGGGATCTGGTCATAAAAACCGACTCATTGCAACCATCAATGTAGCATTTCCCCCGACGTTAATTATCAATCATTTTAAAATGATGGTTATGGGTCCAGGGGGCATCTGACAAAGAAAGCCAAGCCTAACCCTTCTCGGCTGACTCTGTTTGATGTGGAGGAGAATTAGCTTTACTCTGAGCCTCCTCACCCTGCCTCTGAGGGAGCGCCCAGCCATCTTGTGGAGAAAGCTCATTTCAACCACATGGATCCTGGCTCTCTTTCTTTTAGTCCGACCGGTGCACTGTCTGTCTATCAATCTCCACTCTCCCCTCACTTGTTAACAGATACTTTAGTCCTCCACTGGAGACATGAGCTCTACTCCAACACAAACAGGACAAGCCACCTTTTTCAAGTCTTGAACCATGTCTTCGGACTTGGAGAAGCTAATTCTTTTCCTGGCCACTTCACACTTGGCTTCAAAGCATCCCAGTGCATACTGTAGGTGTTTGCAGACCAACAGAACCACAAAAAGCAGAGATGAGATCTTCTCATCCCCAAATCTGGTAGCAGTGAGTACAAACCTAACGTATCTAGATAAATCTCCTGGTCAATCTCAGGCATTAATGTTTACAGCCTCCAAACATTATCATTCAGATTTTAATCAGTACAACTAATAGCAAAGATGCACGTTGAGCGAGCAAAGATGATTGAAGCCATCAGAGCAGAGGAAACGTGAGAGATGTGTGTAGG